ACATACCCCCGTCAATCCCACCCCAAGTTTTGCTGCTTTTTGGGGAGGGGGTATGAGGGTTTCTCAAAAATAAAAAAAGGGGGCGTGATGCTGAAAAGTTTGGGAACCACTGGCTTAGAGAATGGTAAGTTCCTTCTCAACTCAGTGACTTTCACCATAACTTCTGTTTTACTGACAGAAAAGTTCTTAGCTTATTTTATCATTAAAAATCCAGGAAGGCTGCTGCTGATTTATTATACAATGCTCAGATTCCAATCTTGACACTGTTAGAAGTGTTGTTTTTAGCAATACATCCTGTCAATCACAAGCATTCTATAAAATGCAAGTTTCGTCTTAAATGTGTGGGTGGAGATCATTCACACACATGCGCGTGCGCACGCGTGCACCCACCCCCCATTTAAACTTTCCAACAAGACATCAGCTTCCTTTTTATCTTTATTTGGTACACAATGACCATTAGTCTGGCTTAGGGATGTCAGTGGTTAGCCACTGCCTGCCCCCATTTAAAGAGTTAACGGATTAAATGAGATTTTACATCCTTAGTCTGGATTTGTAAAGATTTTTAAAGATATGTTCGTGTGGCACCATAAGCAAGAACTGTAACTGCAAGAGTAAATATCAGCATATCAGAGTGACCTGTTCTACTGAAAGCTGTTCAACATTCATTACAGAACAGCTGCTTTAATTCCTAAACTATTTCCAAAATTTGATTCTTCACTGTTACCTTTAGTTTCCAGACTACGTAATTATCCCTGTAACTCGCAAGCCTCCATTACTCCCCCAATTTCAATTTTTTAAACCACCAGCTTGTTCTAATTTCATAGAATTTTTTGAATCAAAGATTAGAAATCAAATTAAAAAAAACCAAGCTAAAAACATTAAGCCTCCTTCATATAGTTAGCTATGGCTGAGAAATGAAACAAGTCACTGTGAATGGGGCCCTACCAAATTCATGGCCATGAAAAACTCATCACAGCCCATGAAATCTTCTCTCTCCCATGATATCTAGCTATTGTAGGGGAGGGGCTGGAGGCACCTAAGCTGAGAGCTCCTACCATAGGTGGTCCACTCCAAGGGACACCCCCATATATCCTGTGACAACTCTGTGCTATTTCTGGAATCAATGCTGGAACTAGAACTGGGCACTGCCAGCTTGAAAGGCTGTGCCCCTGCCATCAGCAGTGCAGAAGTATGAATGGCAATCCTGAAACTCTTCACACCTCCTTTGGGAGGGCACTCTTATGGTAACAGCAATAAAAGACTGAAAAATTCAACTGTAAACATCTGAAGAACTATGAAATTGATTATTTTTAAAATCCTATGACTATGGAATTGACCAAAATGAACTGTGAATTTAGTAGGGCCCTACTTATAACCATTTGTAAATAATTAGTGTTCTGCATGGTCTTCAAAACCTCAGTCTCAACCAATGTGCAGACTAGCCTTTAAGTTCAAAAGCAAATCTTTATATCCCTGTTTTCCTACCCTATGAATTTTTCTTTAAAGTACTAGAAGTAACTTGTCCAAATGAGCCCATTTTATACAGCATCCTCAACATTCTCTTTAAAAACTGGACTTTCCTATTTCATTGAAATTACTTACGTGTGGTGGGTTCCAAACGCAATGTCCAGCTTTGCCTAGAGTAACAAAAAAACTACGTAATTATTTTGTTAAAAAAAATCCTGCTGCTTGTATTTTACTTTAGCTTACTGCTCTCTAGTGGAAAAGTCACATAATTCCAAGAACATCACTTTTAACCCAAGCATCTATACATGCAATCTCCAATTGCTAGGAGTGAGTAATCTTTATATATCACACCTTTAACCATTGTTGTTTGACACTGAAATTAGTCCCAAGTTCTTTTGGTATCGTAAGAACAGTGTATTAAGCATATTAGATATAGTGTAATTGAATAGTTATGTAAAGACATGAAATCTTAGTGGTTACACAACTATTTGTGCCCCATGGACAGAGGCTGCTCCACAGCAGAAGCAGCCCGTCTGCAGGGACCATGGGCCTGCTGCAGACAGAGGCTGCTTCATGGCAGTCTCCGCTGCTCTCCCTTTTTCCAGCAACTGCAGT